AAACATCCCTGACTATTGCAATATAATGCAAAAAACTATAGAAAACGAACGTTTAACCAATGAAAAGGAACAAATAGGGGGAAATTTCTTTTCTTCAGAAGTTTTTTTTTTAATTCCATTTTTGAAACAATCATAAGTCAATGACTTGACCATGTGCAAGTTTTATACCCATGCTATTCTAAACAAATTTCTTACATGCATCTCATACAGTAGGAAGGAGTTCTGTTTCCATCTATTGTTTGGGAGAAACAAAGCCCAAGTGTCCAAACTTGTGCAAAAGATCAGAAACACAAATATCATTATGAAGAAAACAATTACAAATGCTCACACTTCAGGAGTATTTGTTTCGACAGTATTTGTATTGTACATTATTCTAGGAGAAGAAAAATAGCTTCAGGCTCATACTGCATTGCCATCTGTCCTTGCCAAACCCTTCTTTGTTCTAACAGCTGTACCATTAAAGTTATTTAACAATTGGTAGAGCATGAGTAAAATGAACCACAATAAAACCCTGGTTTACTGGTATCCAGAATAACTAACCCACAAGTCAAATAAAATGTATAAAGCTGATGAGATTCTGGCATCCAAAACCTGTAATCTGGGTAGTGCATTTTTAGCTATCTTTATCCCACATATAAAGGATCCATAATATAATGATATAATAAACTTATTCACAATTTTACTCAGTGCAGCCAATATTTTGAAGAGAAGCCAGGCTACTGATTTTTACCAAATTTATCCCAAGGAGAATCAGTGACAGCATTTCTTCTATGGGCCCACCACAAAAAAAAAACAAAAGCCAAACTAAAAACAAGGCAGCAACAAAGACACCTAAGAATAAACATGAGGGCTTTCTGTTGTTGTGTTTTAAGCATCAGCTCACAAGAGACAGCAGGTTTCTTATATACAGTTTTTTGTTTGTAAGTAAAGGGCCATCTGGATAAAATACCCTTATCCTAGAGGCTCTTATACAGTAGAGGTGGCAACTGATTGCAAAACAAAAAGAACAGAAGCACAAAAATTATCCATCTTCCCTCCCTAATTCTAATATCATTGTACATTTACTTTGTATTGCATTAAATTGCAACATCTAGGTACTTTTCTAAATTTTTTAGATTATAAATTAAAGATGTATCATGACTATACAAAAAGATGACAAAAAACACAGACAGCCATATTCAATCCAGTCAAACTGTCCATCTAGTCCAGCATCTTGTTGTCTCAAATACTGATTAATGCTTCAGAGGATAAATCCTCACGATGGAAAAATATTCAATAATATGCCCAGGAGGGAAGTTTCTTTCCAATATTAGTAAATGATTGGTTTTATTCCAGAATGTTTATTACCGTTTTAAAATTCTTGTCTAGTTTAAGTGTAATAGCCTTATATAAACGTAATCCTTTTTGAATCTAAGTCTATCTTTTGGTTCAATATTCTTTGGCAGTGAGTTATGAATTATGCCACAACTGATTATCAATTTTAAAATTTGTTGCCTTTTAATGTCATTACTGTTTATAATTTTATCATGCTGTTGCATATGTGAAAGAGGGTAAAAAGAAGCACCCAATTTATTCTCTGTATAGCCTTGTTCTTGAAAAAGAGTTAAACTGTCCCCAAAATATCATACCCGCTAATAATTATGCTTTGAGATCTACGAGGTTGTCATTTTGATATATTGATTTGGTACAGGGCTTTTTTTTTAAATCAGAATGTTATGCACTACCAAGTCTAATGCCTTACAAAAGTCTAAGTATACAGTGTCAACACAATTACCTTTATTAACAAAAAAGTTATAATCACATCCAAGAATCAGACAAGTTAAACTATGCCAAATGGCACATTACTGTCCTTTGATTTTTTTTAAAGGAAAGGTTGTTTTGGGATGCAATAATTTTCCAAGGATCAATGTAAAATTCATCAGCCCATAGTTACTAGTTCATCCCTCTTGTCTTTTTTTAAGATGAGGATAACATAGCAGTCCTTCCCTATTTTTCAAGATTTACGAAAGATTATCAACTGTCTGGACTGCATCTCAGACAACTCTTAAAACTTTAAGTGCATGTAATCTAGACCCGCTGATTTTAAAATATTTAGTTTTAGCAGATTCTGTTTAACATACTCCTTAGTTGCTATTATGATATAAAGTATATAATTATTCTACTACTAGCTTAAAGCCCATGCTGTGACACGGGTGTAATTTGTGAAGTCGTGTGGGTAAAAATGCCAAAAATGGCTGAAAACAAACTGAATGGTAACAGACCACAAATCTCAGTGGTGACTGAACCTGGTGATATTCTAAACAAAAACAGCTTTCAACCATGTTTGTAGCTGTTTTCATAACCTCAAACATCAGTCTGAAGCGTAGAATGTTGTTGAGTCATTGTGTGTACTGGTTGTGTTCATTTATGCATGGGTGGCGTTGTGCGGCTCTGTATGGGTGGTGAATGAGGGTGTGTGCTGCAGTGAAAGGTTTATGTTTCAGGTTACTGCGTATGCTGGCTGTGTTGTGTGAATGGTTGTGTGGATTTGTGTCTGGGGCATTGTGCTGGGAGATTTGTGATGATTTATGCAGGTGCTCTGCTGCAGTGAGGAGCTGTGTGTGTCTGGGGCTATTGTGCAAACTGATGATGTTGTATTGAGCTGGGAGAGTTGTTTTGATTTTTTGACTATTGATTTATATGGATGGTGAACAAGGGGTGTGTGCTGCAGTGAGGGGCTATGTGTATTTGGGGTGCACATTTGTGCAACTGAGCCAAGAAATCCATCACCCTATGCAGTCTCCTTCATACAAACAATGAAATTGTTGCATGCAAATTAGCTGTAGAGTAAGGTGGTGATTGGTTGGGTTACCTCTGAAATCACAATGGTCTAGGACCCTTGCCATTGCTTAGATCCATGCCTTCCGATAGCTGCACATGGAAGTAATTCATAACATCAAAATGGTTGAGAACTTAAAAACTGGATGGTGACAGACCATGAAATTCCGTAATGATTCAACCTAGTGATATTATTCTGAACAAAAAGAGATCTGAACCACACGTGTAACTGCTTCCAGTGCTTCACACTGACCCAACAGTCATTTTAGGGTTCAGAGCTACATTCCTGGAACCTTATTATATAGATAATACAAACCAGGTTCCTCCAAATACAGACAAATATTACTGAATATTTTCTGCATCAGTAGAAAAGTGGGGCTAAAGTTGAGTCACTTGGATCCCAGACTAGTATACCATCCCCATAAGGACATTTTGATCAGTAGAAATATTTGTTTTGCCTATGTCCCCTCCAGAAGTTTCCTTGTGTGGCTGCTTCAAAAGACGAGAGGTTCGGGTACAGTCAGAATGTTCAAACACTTAAGGAGCAAGTTCCGAGTGTGTGCAAATTGCAGTTTTCAGTCAATGATAACTCAGTCAAATCTGGGTGGCTACTCCAGAGGGAAAGCAAAAGGCACCTCTCTGACTTCATGACTACCAACTGATCCCCTGCCAAATTTTGAATTACTGTTCCAGAGCTCTGAGGCACTAAAGCCACTCCAAAAGTCTCAAACTCTATTTAATAAATACTGGTAAAACTATTTATTTTTCACTAGTCTTGTTACTGAAAAACAGTTGAACCATTTTTGCTCAAACTTTCAAAAACAAAACAATCTGAGGCAGACACTAAGCATGGAATATTTCAACCAAAGCAGTTAAAAATTAACAAAGTTATAAGCAAATGAAGACAAGCTGTTATAAGGGAAGTGTTAGACAACCTTATTATTGGTATTCCTACCGTCCTCACATCACAGCTGCTGTAGGCGAGGCTGCTAGTGTGCAGCAACCACAGTCTTTCATGCTGATCAATAAATATCTTGTTGTTTACTTGTACTCCCTGTCTGTTGATATTCATCTGCTGTCTCTTGTTCTATACTTAGATGGTAAGCCCCTTGGAGCAGGGACTGACTTTTTGTTCTGTGTTTGTATAGCACCTAGCACAATAGGGCTTGTAGTGCTATTGTTATACAAATAAATACACAGTAATACACACTATAGATTACACAAAAATATAAGATAATTGTTACAATTGAAATCCTTTTAAAAATATCTAGTTATTAATGAACACATTACCTTATTAATACTATCTTAGATTAAGCCAGATTTTATTATAAAATCTAATTTACTTAGAGTACTTATTGCATTTCACTGAGCTTACATAATGCAACAGGCTAGTTAGTTGTACTGTCTGGTTCATGCATTAAAAACACTTCAAATTTCGGTCGCAAAACTAAGTGAATTTTTCAGTCCAAACAAAAATCCTTTTTCATTTGAATTTTTAAAAATATTCATTACAACTTTTCCATTAAATATTAAGCATTGTACATTTAAAAATAATTCATCACTAAGTTTTGGGCCTCAGCATATTGACCACATCTCTCTTTAAAGTCAAAGAATATTCAATTTAAACACAACTATTGCTAACCGATTAAAATCTGTTTTTGTTTCTCCTTTTTTATAACGACTAACGATATTTACATGAAAACCAGATTGTTAAACTTTTAGCTCCTTAATATATATTTTCCCTCAACTGAAGTCTTAATCCTTCATGTGTAGCATCATAATTATATCAAAATTACTGCACTAGAGGATTATGACTTTAAATGAGGCATCAATAGGAATGAGCAGGCTACTGCTTAAAAACAATGCTTTTGTCATAAAAATATCTTTACTAATTAAAATGTCAGGGAAAACAAAACCAAAATGAGTTTGCTATAAGCATACCTGTATATAGACTGAAATCAGTGTCAGTTTTTGTTTTGGAAAAGGTGTGTGTGCATGCGCAGTTCTCAACTGGTTTCTAATATTAAGGTACAGTATTGCTCATACACCTCCATTTGAAATATAGGACAAAATGGGGCTAAGTTTATCAATATTAAACGGCACTTCACTTTTCAGACAAACACAAAAACTACATGCAAACAACACAGCACGAGACCATGCTAAGAATGTAACATAAAACCAACCTGATTCCTAGGCCCTGATGAGAGCTGTCTCAGAATAAATGTAAAATAAGATTTCATGTGAGAACAATCAAAAAATTCGCTTAATAAATTTACTTTTTAAATAACAAGCAGCAGTAATATTAAAAGTCAACAAATGAAGAACATAGGACAATTTTAATAAATTTAATAAATCTATTTTATTTTGCAAATAAGTCTAAAAAGTTTTCACAATATCTATAACTTTCTTTCTGAAAAACAAAACAATTAGCTTAGTCTTTTACACCTGATGAAATGCAGATATATTTTCAAAAATCCAGAGACTAAAGTTGGTCTTGTGGTCACCCAGAGATAAAGTAATTTCACTCTGTTAAATGAGTTACAGTTTTTATAAATCTCCTGTAGTTTTAATTATAAAATTTAGTTAAAAAATAAAGTACAAGCAAAAATATAACTATGATGGTGCAGAGAAGCATTCAGAATACAATTTATTACAATACAAAGTAAAAACAGACCATGTGCTATGCTAGATAATTAATGAAAACAGAGCAAGGGCTATGATGTTAAGAATGTTTTATATGTTGGTTGAAGTGGTGCACATACACTGTACCTACAACATTTTTAAAACCGAGTGATTTTTAATATCAAACTATATTTCCATAGCCAAGAAAAGTCACATAAGACTATTATGTGAGTCTTATGTGACTTACACAAGTCTATTACTAACAGCAAGGGATAGCCTTTATGTTTTCCTATAAAGAGCCATACATCTGTGGGCAATGTATAATAAGTGCCAGACTTTTTATCCAGGAACATTAATTAATAATCTACCTATGTTGTCCATTTATATATTGTGATCAGTCAGGCTACTGAATACAAGTAGATGTGAATTTGGCTGATAGCATAAAAGGAAAATCAGGATTTACTCACCATGGAGAAGTTCCCTGTGACACCACATTCCATCCTATAAAGGAAGTGAAAGTGCTCTTCCCTTCAGTCTGATTTACAAGAGAGAAAGAAAGAGAGAAGGTTGTAATGTCGCTACACTACATAGTTATGGAAAGGAAAGATGGACGTCTGCACTGACACTGATAAGCTTTTCTAACGTAGCATACACAGAATGCACATGGACAGGGTTTTGATTTTTTGTTTAGAAGGAATAACTTAGAATATATCCTGATGGAAGAAGACACACATGTGCCTTCCCAGTGATTTCATCAGACAGTGAAGAATCTGTGTGAGTACAAGGGCTGGAACTAGTCCTTAGCACAAAAAACACCCTCCCCAAAAAATTAAAAGCTGGGGACTAAGTCTGTATGTAATGGAAACTCCAATTTACGTTTTTAAAAAGGTCTGACAATATGACAAAGAAACAAGATCCACAGAGGAAAAGTATGTTTGGTTTTTCTAGACGGTTCTCTCTGCTATAGTTCTTTCTTTGAAGTAAAGCAATAACATTTGTTTATTTCCTACTGAAAGGACGGAAGCCCAACAAGGGTAACAGAACAGGGAATTTTATAGTTATAGCCACTACAACTAGGCCTAGAAGGGAGCTAAATTTATTATAAATGGACCTAGTTCTACTTATTCCTTTTAGGAAGAAATAAGCAGAGCAATAACATACCCTGTATGCCAAGTGTATTTAAAAGATAAATCTGTTGATTTCCACATAACAGAACAAGTTTGAACATTTTAGGGAAACACTCCAACGATTTAATACTTAGATTCGGACATGTCTTCCCACATAAGAAAATTTATAATCTAGTTCAGTATTTTCTAGAATGCTGCTTTAAAAAAAAAGTCTGAGATCATAGAAAAACCTCACTTTCAGGAAAGAACAAAGATGTAATTTAATCTAGTTTTTATTCATTCTATGGCTTAATTATAGAATTAGTTTTACTGGATAGGATCCTCTTTAGTCCTAATATCTAAGAAACTGTCTTGGATAATGTGCAATTTTAAGACTTCATCCTATGACTCTTTGTACTAATATTATTATGAACAAAGATCTTGCTATCACTTCTTCATGGGCCTTTAGCTATGCTAGGCTGAAAATAAATGATCAATATCCTTATAAAATTCTACAAGCAAAAGATTAAGATGCTTAAGAAATCTGTTGTCTAAACTAATCATATCTGGCTCAATTGTCAAGGAAACATCTAGTACTTTTCTCAAAAGTACACAGTTCAATAATCTATTCTTGAGAAGTATCAAGAGATTTATTCCAACAAATTTTCAGAATTGGTGTTTCAGCATAGCATGATTGAGTGGTTAAAGAATATCTTGGTTAGTATCCTGAATTTAGTTAATAGTAAGAATAGCAAAAAAAGATTTATTGAATTTAGGAGAATTTTGTCCTTCCTTGGAGGAAGACATACTGGAATTATTTGAGTTCTGTAAAATTGCCTTACTAATTCTACTTAACTTCCTAAACTGTTTGTCAAATCTTTAGATACACCCACTCTATGTTTGGAACACAGACTGAAGAAAATTAGGCCTGCCAAACTACCAAAATACACACTATCACTCACTCTCAAGGGAAACAGCACCAAAGTCCTGCCAGTTTTGCTGTGCAAGATTGACAGGCAGTTTACACTTAGTGACAGACTCTTGAATTGCTCCAGCTACGAATGTACTGTAGATAAGCTGTAGCCTCAGTAATTCTGAGCATCTGTGAAGATCTAGCTATCTACATTAACATTAATGTTGCTCTAACAAATATAATGAACCGGAATTTGCACAACAGATTTAAATCTAAACCAAAGAAAGTGACCTAGAATGACTTAGTGGTCAAATTGTTGAAGAGCTTATATTGTCTAACCTGTAAAGTAGGTATGTCAAAACCTGACAATACGCAAGTAGAATAGCGACAGGAAATTTATCCTAGATCTGGGAATCTCCTTGTTCAATGTTTCAGCTAATTTGTTTCATGGGGATATTAAAATATACATATAAGAAACCTATGTGCAGATCCCTCTTTGCATTTAAGCACCATGCATGTTACCATGAATACAGATTAGCCTAACATAAAAGAAAAAGCTTTAAGTCCTTCCAAGAAAGAGGAAGGGAAATACAATCCCTTTCTATTTTATAAAGAACAGTAAAGTTACAAGGAAATAGAATAAATGAAGAGCAAAAGGAGAAGGGAGACAGAACGCTAATCAACTTCTCTAATGAGATCTTGAGAAAAAAAGTCCAAGTGAAGGGAGGAGCACTTTTATTTACTATACAGAATGGAATACGATGTTACAGGTTACAGCTATAAGGAAGATCTAGTCAAATCTTTCCAACCAAAGGGGAGAACACCTACTTGAACTGTGTGAGGAAGAGAAAGTTAATCAGCCATTTGCTTTGTCAATAACTTCAGTAATTATAGATATGCTTCACCTACTGACATGGTATTTAGCTATACATAAGTGTATATTGATAATTTTAGGAATCAAAGCCCAAGTTTTATTTTTTGCTATACCAAATCAAATCAGTGGCTATTAAATAACAAAAGTAAAATGGAAAACTCAGAATGCCTAGTAACAGCATCATCATGTCATGCTAAACAAAATTACAGTGTATTGTAAACATGAATTAAGGGTGAACATTATATAAAGTCATCACATTTAAAACATCCATGAATTAGACAATGTATGATAATCTACTCTAATGAAGAGTCTACCTACCTAAATATATTTGGAAAGGTGTGTTTCCAGTGAAGTTGTTTTGAAAAGTGATTGAACAAAACTGAACTTACTCACTGAAAAGATCTGCTCCTTAGGTATAATGAAATCATAGCTGTTGATATTAGCAATGAAAAAGGTTTTTACTACTACTTACTTCTTTTAGCCCTGTATAGCCAAAATAGTAGAATGAGTTGGATTCTGGCTCAAACATTAAAAAAGAAAGTTAAATTAGTGGACCAAATTGTTAAATTACTGGCTCTTGGCTACACCTGTAAAACCTGACTGAAGACAATGGGGTTGCCAATGTGCATCTAAAAACCAATGTTTAGTCTATAGATACTTATTACAGATTATTATGCACAGCAGAAAAGGCTTTTTTTCCTGATCCCAGGCTAGCTCTGCAAGGCTGGCATTGAGGAAAACATTTTACTTGTAAACTGTGTAAAAAGAAAGGAAGTAACTGTAAGAATAAATCCCCACAATGCCATTTTTAAATTACAGTTTTAGAGTTGAACTGCATTTTAATATTTTGGTGATTACATCTCCTCTTGTAAGAATTTGTATGGATGTTGTTTAATTGGTGATGAAGAAACAAGTTAAAATTGATAAACTGTAGTACTGTGCTATACTACAGATGTACATGGTAGGAAAATCTTTGTTTTGCATTATGAAAAACTCCCAGATTAATCTCATGAAACAGCAAGATAAGATACACCAAAGGCTGCCATCTAGTGTCCATTTTTAATAGTTTTAAACATTTCCCAAGTTTGCGCACACAAATTTCACAACACAAAACAGAAGACACTTTAAAAGCTATGGTGGTCTTTGTCATGTAATCACACTAGTTTTCCCTCTGTTAAAAAATATGTTCTAAAATAAAACATTTCAAACCCACAAAACATTGTCTATATAATACAAATGCAAGCTGCCTTTTTATTATTAGGTCAACACAGTGCTTATGAAAGTGCAGATCGCAGCCGCACAGTATTCTATTAATTCAAATAAATATTATAGCATAGGCACCAGTATTGCAATCTCTCAAGCTTAATACACTCAAGGGTTTGCATAAAGTCTAAATGGAGATACCCTCTTTTCAGGATTAAACTAAATTTAATCTATGCATCCATTCAGGGTTTGCAGGGGGGGGAAGGGAATGGGGGACAATTGTACCAGGGGCCCGAGATCAGGGCGCACACCAAAAGGGCAATAACTTCTGTGTAAACAAAGTGAAAAAGGAGAGGGAGGGGCCCCAGTGAGCACGATGTACCAAGACTCCACATTTCTCTGGACAGGCCTGCACCCCTTCAATCTTTGTTCTCTCAGCCAGAGAGGCAAAAAAAGAAAGAACGCTATCAGCTGGTAATAACTTCTATGCATTAACAATCAGAACTATTGATGTAGGAGTGAAAGTCTCTATACTCATTACCAATCCCCCAAATCAGTCAGATTCCTTAAATAATTTTAGTAAGGCAGTGACTCTCAACCTTTCCAGACTACTGTACCACTTTCAGGAGTCTGATTTGTCTTGCGTACCCCCAAGTTACACCTCACTTAAAAACTACTTGCTTACAAAAAATCTGACAAAAATTCAAAAGTATCACAGCACAATATTACTGAAAATTTGTTTACTTTCTCATTTTTACCATATAATCATAAAATAAATTAAATGGAATATAAATACTGTAGTTACATTTCAGTGTAAAGTATATAGAGCAGTATAAACAAGCGTCTGTATGAAATTTTAGTTTGTAATGACTTGGCTAATGCTTTTTATGTAGCCTGTTGTAAAACTAGACAATTCTCTAGATGAGTTGATGTACCCCCTGGAAGAGCTCTACATAGCCCCAGGGATATGCGTACCCCTGGTTGTTGAAGTAAGGTACCCACTCCACCCAGAATTTACTTCCTTATCGAAGTAAAATCATGCTTTTTACATAGGCAAAAGGGTTACCTTTGATTTCACAGCAAAGTGTTTATTTCAACACAAAGCCACAATGTATAAAGATGCCCATCAACAAGAATTGAATTAAAAGGGCTATTTAATTCAACCCTTTAAAAAAATGTGTCTGCATGATGTTATGGGCAACATGTGGGCAACCAAAGGGGTGAGTTAGTGATGAGTGTTAAGACTAATTTGACTTTTTTTTTCTGTTTTGGTAGGTTTAAATGAGACCTTCTGTTCACAACACTGAAATCCATTATTAATATGAGTCTAAGCCGAAAGGGCCATAAAATTAAATAGGCCAATAACAAAAAGTTAACCATGTAGCTGAAATATTATTTAAAGATAGTAATATTTTATTTTTTAAAAACAAAACAAAAACTTACCGTAAGCCATAGCAAGGCAGAGTGATGAACTGGAACAATGCCAGAAAAACTCGCAAAGGAAGCAGGGTGAACACATAGAGAAAAGCATCCAGGCACAAAAAGATTCCAAAAAACATCAACTAGATTATAAAAACAAAACAAAAAGACAAACGTCATCCCTTTCACACAACTGTCTATATTGTAATAATTTCACATATAAGATCTCAGTCAACAAAAATATAAAATAGTAAAACCCAGTTATGCACAATACTTCCATTTATTTAGACAGCTGAACTGTAGGAAGCAACATGCGGTAAACTTGGAAATCTATTCAGCAAATATTCTGTTCCAGGAGGTCCAAATGGTAGAAGCTTTGCAGGCTTCCGCAGCTCACTAGTCTCAATGTTTATTCAATAGGTGAACTGCCCTTGGATGAAGCTGCAGACCACCAGCTCTCACTTCCACTCAGGTTACACAATTCAAGTTGAAGTTTTTAGGTTTTAAAATATAAAAGTAGCCATCCTTTGCAGATATTCTTTTTAATGTGTTTGTCTTTTACAAATAATTATTTCCTATCATTATGAAATATATGGATAAAAAGTCAGTTTTTAAAATATTGTTCTACCACCATATCAGGCTAGGGCCAAGGTTAATTTTATTTGAGGGTTATCACCCACTTTTTTTGTCCAATCTTATGGGAGAGAACTTATATAGGAAGTTAATCTTAAATTAAAGGTAACAAAACCTTTAAACTGGGTGTAAGTTAGCACACAAGATACTGAAGGCTGGAAGACAGCTTTTTTTTTTCTCCCAGCCAAGTTCACAGGTACTCTGTGGTAACTAAGTGGATGTAGATTCTGTAAGTAAGGCAGCCTGGAAATACTGTGACAAACTCAGGTAAACTTTAAAAAAATGGATCTTATTGAATTAAAGATGAAAATGAATAATCCAATTGGTAAAGTGTCTCATTGTTGGCTATTATATCCAAAATTTCAATTATGTGCAGGTTTTTGAACAGTCAATGAATATCAATTGTAGAAACTGTCAGGGAGAAAGCTAAATGTTTTGTCAGCTGGGTAGGAAATTGTTAAGTGTTTGGGGGTTGTGAAATAAGCACACTAGGTAACATTTTGCGAAAGGATGAAACCCCCATCTCCATTTTTGCAGGTGCAATTAGTGCCTGAAAAATGTACACCCATATTTTATACCAGTTTAACATTAAATGGCTTCTGCCACTTGAGTTGAAAAGATCAAATCACAGACACTTTCATTTCAAACTGTAACCACTTACTTGATTTAAAATATTTGGTTTTGATTTACCAAAGTTACAACGATTTCAAAACTATGTGCTGGGAATCCACAGTAGCAACTGTCATCAAGTCTGTATGTATACAGAGATTCGCTGCTCATGACCATCTACTTTAGTGCACTCTTTCCCAGACTTGCCCACTCTCAGTATTTCACAACTTCAAGGCTACTAAAGCTATACACACTGCTTGCTTTGCAGCTCTTCATAAGAATTCAATATTAAGCCAAGTTTGAAGAACCGTGCTGGGGAGAAATGTCTTTGTTTTTGCTGGATACACCTTAAGACAGACATGTTCTCCTGTCAGTAATCTACAGGGATCTTTTCCGCTGCTTTTATGTACTCCTTTCTGGTGACAAAATGTTCACTAAACTGCATCCTGAAAAAGGCTAAACGGACCTCATGGGCCTGCGATTATGTGGCAAGTCACAGTTTGAAAGGGAAAAGCTCATTCCTGCCTATTCTTTCTAAAAAGCGATTGTTCGAAGTGTACAGTAAATTTAATTTATATGTTGTGCCTTTCTAACTGGAAACTGAATAAATGAAAATTCAGGCAGGAAGACAACCAGTCAGGAATTCATTTTCTCCCTTCTCAGTAAGTTTCATCCCTTCTCAGTCCCGACGTGTAGCTTCCAAAGCTGAAATTCCCACTTCTTTAAACTGAACCCTCAATCATAAGCTCTGGAATCTGCACTAACACATGGGCTACGTCTACACTTGGAACTGGGGGATGGGGGGAGGGAGAGAGACAGAATTCCCAGTTCAAGCCGACATACCGTGTTTCCCCGAAAATAAGACAGTGTCTTATATTAATTTTTGCTCCCAAAGATGCGCTAGGTCTTATTTTCAGGGGAGGTCTTATTTTTCCTGGAGCTTCGGGGCCTTATATTCCGGGGTGGCCTTATTATCCGGGAGGTCTTATTTTCGGGGGATGCCTTATATTACAGCAAGAGGCAAAACTGGAAGTAGGTCTTATTTTCGGGGAAACAGGGTACTGACACTAGTTCTCATAAAGCCAGAGTGCTAAAAACCATAGCGTCGCCACAATAGCATGGCCCCGGGCACAGGCTAGCCACTCATGGTATGTCTACATTGCAATTAAAAACACGTAGCTGGCCTGTGCCAGCTGACTTGGACTCATGGGGCTTGGGCTAAAGAGCTGTTTAACTGCAGTGCAGACATTCGGGCTCGGGCTGGGACCCAGGCTCTAGGACCCTGCAACATGGCAGGGTTGCAGAGCTCGGGCTGCAACAATTAAACAGCCCCTTAGCCTGAGCCCTCCGTCCGAGTCAGCTGGCATGGGCCAGCTGCAGGTGTCTAATTCCAGTGTACGCATACCCTATGAGTACAAATCCACCAGTGTGTATTTACTTGGGGTGGTTAGCCGTACTCTGCACTTGCTATAACCATCACACTATTATTTTTAGTGCACCATCTCAATGACAGCTAGTGCGAGTAGGTCTAATCAAGTTGGGAATCATACCCCCAACTCCAAGCCTAGACATAGCCACTGTCATAGGTAACCTGCCAGTTAGTCAGCCTCTGCTATGCATGACCTGATCCACCCAGCTGGCACAAACCAAGAGGCGAAATAGACCTCGTCTGTCCTTCACAGGGTGAATAAAAATCAATTGTTTTTTTTTTTTTATTTAAGTTGGATTTTTTGATAAAATGCTTTTTGAGGAAAAAAGTGGGTTGTAGCCCACGAAAGCTTATGCTCTAATAAATTTGTTAGTCTCTAAGGTGCCACAAGTACTCCTGTTCTTTTTATCTAAAGATAGTTTTAATTAAGATACATTATAGCTCAAAGATTTCTCATCATGGAATAGGGATTATAAATTATAATTCTATAGTACGAGAATATATTCATGTAGTTTAAGAAAAGTTTTGTAAATGAGTTCCAATAGTTCATGGATTAGAGACCCAATCTTATGGGGTTCCACAGGCTTCTGTATAGATTATTTAGGTTAATCTTTCTATCTACCCAATGGGACTCAGTGCTCAGTATAGAAGATACCATCAGAGATGCTTAGTTTTGCAGTTCTCAAAGTGTGCATTTGTGTCTCCAGAGGTAACATGCTTGTTAACAGCAAAAATATATTTAAATAAATAAATAATATATATAAGTGAGACGTAACCGACCTCAGCCCTATTGTCCCTCTGCAAATTTGTGTACACAGAGTCAATCCCTTACCTCTCTCTAAAAGTGCAAAGTTTCAAAAAGTTCAATTAATTGAAGATTGTTGGGGGCGGAATAGATCTGGACAAGGCAAGAAGTCTTGAGATCAATGTGAAAAGGGAGAGACAGGCAGTAGAAACAAAAATGAAACTGTTTGAGCAGCATATTCCAGAAGTCTTGAGGTCTTTCTGAGTGTAGCATTCATTGATTTGAGATCTACCATACCATTCTCTCACTAGAAGGGAACACCTATAATGGCAGAAGGCCGAAAAAGAGACCCAGTGTGGGAATATTTTAATGAAGTTCCTCTACCTGTGGGTAAGACAGGCACGCGTGCAAAATGCAAACAGCGCAACAAAGAAATGCAAGGCCTGATTGCCCGAATGAAACAACATCATGAGAAGTGTTTCTCAGTAGGAAGCTACGTTGAAGATGATGAAAGGAACATGTCTGAACATGCAGGATCTTCAGGTTGGTAAACTTTTTTATTTCATATTTCTTTCTTAAGGACTGCCTATCTTCCTTCTCGACTATTCTTGAATTCTCATGTTTGAGCAAAAAATATAGTTGTTACTCTATGGTACTATCATTTTAGATGCAGTTGTGATAAAAAATGAATAGCTGAAATAGATAGATTTTCTTTTTACAATTTCACCTTTAAAGTAGTACTGTCAGTGAATGCAATGAGTAATACTAAACGAGCAGTATGGTAATAATAATTAAATAACTGCATTGACTTATTTTGTTTAGGAGAATCCATCCTCAACATACAGGATTCTAAAGACTATCCACCTTCAAGATCACCTTCATTTTCTATAGTTTCAGAGTTATCTGCCAATGATAGTGTTTCAATCACATCATGTATGTCACATAGCCACATTATATCACCTGTACCAAAAAGAAAAAAAAAATCTCCATCATCCAGAAACAACCATAGATAAGTTTGTGATAAGAATCAGCAGATTACAAAAAGAGGTAATTGATGAAAAAATTACCCAGTTTGCTTATGCAACAAACTCTCCTATCCGTATGATTGAGAACCCACACTTCATTAACATGGTTCAGTCATTAAGACCAGAATACAGTCCCCCCAATAGAGCAGATGTCGCAGGCAAATTGCTGGATAAAGTCTAGGAAAGAGAAATTGAGCAGCGTGCAAAAGGTCTAGAGGGTGAAATTGTTAACCTGAGTCTTGATGGGTGGAGCAATGTCTTCCTTACAGAAACAATTGATACATCAGGAAATGCGCACACAGCAGAATACTTACAAGAAGTAGCAGTAAAAGCTATAATAAACTGTGAAAAAGAATTCAAATGTCTAGTATGCAGTTTGGTCACAGACAATGCTGCAAATGTATCCAAGATGAGAAGAAATTATTTGGAAGAGAGTCCCAAGCTAACAACATACAGTTGCAGTGCTCATTTGATGCACCTCCTAGCCAAAGACTTCAGTGTTCCAGAAATAAAGGCTAATGTTGAAATTGCAAAATACTTCTGTAACACGCACTTTGCAGCAGGTGCTATGAAAAAAGTGGGAGGAACCAAGCTAACTCCCCCACAAGATGTGCAATGGAACTCAGTAGTGGACTGTTTTGAGCACTATATCAAGAACTTGCCTAATCTGATGACAGTTTGTGAACAAAATCGTGAAAAAAT